TTATTTCCAATATTCCGGCAGCATGAAACATTTTAATTAAGTAGTAAGAGTTATCCCTTTAGAAACAGACAAATAATCAAAACACATACAAGGAAACCCAAAGAATACATAGTGTGGCTGAAAGAGACCTAAATAAAGGTTAGACTACAAGGCAAGGGAAAGGAAAAAAATAAATAGCAATTTTGTCCAATAAAATGCTTTGGAAGGACTTTCAGCGTGTTCTTTCCATTACATTGACAGTAAAATTACAATGATGAAGTGTTTTAGGAATTCCATAAAGTACAATATAATTTCATTTTTAAATACCATTACAAATTTACTGGTAGGCTTATTTGCTCATTTCGTAACTGCGATATCCCACCTTCTAATAATGAAATAAACTTCAAATGTATGTTTTTAACCAATTCATTAGACTACTTAACTTTCAGTTTATAACACTTACACCATATAAATTCAGTGTATATTGTACTACCAAAGTGTTTCGAAAAAATTATACATAAAGAATTACAATATTTCGAAATTCAATTAGAGTAATACTATCAATATGCTATGTTATAACTTGATTAGTTAAGGTAAGAAAAAAAGCGTCATTTTATTTTGTCTCAATGCACAACAACCTGATAAATTATCTACCTATAAAAAGAACCCCTTTTTGGCCAATATTGAATTTGTGCTTATTAAGTCGTCAGTTCTACATATCAGTCGTTTCTCTATTCATGAAGATTCTTTTATATATGATCCTCCATTTGCCCCTCCGAAACAAAACATACGTTTAAGCAAAACGCAAACTTGCCAAAGGCACATCGTTATGATTGAATTAACACAGAATGATACATCGTTTTCTCTTATTATTTACAAGAATAAAATCGTTCAAAAAGATTCACTTCTCGTTCACATAGGATTGAATATTGACAAAGCATTTCCACCTAACAATTCTCGAACAGGAGAAAACGCCCATCCTACCTCTACTGTCCCCACTCTATCTATCCATTAAAATAAATTTTCCAGACAAGAAAAAGAGAGACATTATTAGCTAACTAAATAAAAATGTTTGTTAGTTAATAGTAAAGCTTTTACCTCCTCTGAAGTTTTAGTCACGGATAAGAAGTATGTTTTATTACAAGAGTGAAAACAATTATCTCCAGAGAAATACGAATTATCAATGATAATTCCTGTAATTTAATCTAGAACATTAAATATAAATGAATAGTATTGTTTGTCTTTGGATCCTACTTCGAACCTATTCTAACATATGTATACATATTGTGGCATGTACTACTAATGTCGACAGATATAAGCAGTATGTACAATCAATCGAAAGTGCGAACAAAGAATGATTGGTGTGGAAACGAAAGAACAATGAAAACTGAGATTGATTGACATTTTGCAAATGAAGTATTTACTGTATGATTCTCAGATTTTACTAAGACGTTCTGTAATTTTGTATTCAAATATGTGTGTCCTCGTTCACTACTATATATATATATATATATATATATATATATATATAAAGTACGCGATAACATGTAACATGTGCGCGAGAACCCATAACTCGCCATTTTTATTTTACTGTCCCACTTATTAATGACATGTTTACAGGATTAATTTAGTTTAATTTTTTTGTAAAATTTTATGCTAAATAGATAATAATAAGTGATTGTTTTAATTCGAAGAAAAATAAAACAATGTATAGTTTTATAATTGGTATGAATAACATTGCCTGTTAAAGAAGTTAACAAAAGAGCTTGATAAAAACTAGCCGTAATCAATGTTAGTCGTAGTAGTGTTGCTATAGTTTGTTTATAGAGAATTTGTTTTCAAATCACCACCTAAAAAATTGAAGCCTTATCGCCTTGACAACTAAATAATAAAAAATCAAATATTATTATTATTGCTTATCTAATTCGTAAATGTGACGTATATAATGTAAGTGGTGAGCTTCTTTCGTAGCATGTTTTTACTAACACTTGCGTTGATTTTAAAGGTATATTCTTTCACTGGATTCGAGTGCTGATTCTACTTTATAGTATGTTTGATAAATGTAAAAAAGTATGGAGTTACATGTAATCAGTAGTATTCTCTACTTATGAATTCATGATAAACCAATAGTCTAACATTACACTGCCATTTTATATTATATGACCAAATTTCAAAAACCGGTTTCTTCCTGTTCTTGAAACTTTGTGACGATAACAAGCGAACATTACTTGATCAGATAGCTACTGAAATGGTATTTACTTAATTTTTTTTAGATGACTGGAACAAGTGTTTCAAGATGAAAACACTTATTATCAAAATACACGTTGTCTCACTTATACGCTTTTGCCATAACATGGTAGTATACGCATGGAAATGAAACTAATATTAAACGAAGTAAGTGATTTAAAATCTATGGTTCATACAGTCCATCTTATCTGGTGGACTTCATTATAGCAGTGTAAACAACTTTTGTTTTCGTACAAGAAAATCTCAACTATTATTAACGACTAGCCTTAAATGATTAGGTCTGAAATCGACTTATATCGTGTTTCCAATTTCGAAGTACACCCCATAATTATTAACGTTCATCCTAACTTGATAATATAAGATGTAAATACTCTGTAGCTCATCAAATAGTAAAAAAAAGTCGATTTATATATCAACGACCTAGAAAAAAGTCAAATTATTCCTTCAGAGTGTTTTTTATGAAATACTACCATCAATAAAGTTGGTGAACCTTAAAAAGATTGAATAAAATTACATCCTAACTTCTGAATTTATTCAAACATTAAAGAGAAGGATGGTTATATGTTACCTTTCTATATGAATGCTTTTTGAATACATTTACAAAATCAATTTCATAAAAATCTATCACTACCTATTCACATGGAACTATGATGTAATCATATCACGTAGATAATGAATAATGAATTGAACTTGAAATTCAGTAGAACATATACAGTGATCAGGTCATTTGAATGATTTTTTTTTCAATAAATGAATGATTGAAATTCATTGTACTTCTTTTCCGTTTTCATATTAGATGAATTTCAATTAATTCTTGGGTGTAGTTTTTTAGAGATAGAGAAACAGATATATTTCAGGATGTTTTTTCGATAACTATAGTTCACAAGTATTCAACAAAACTTATTCCATAGAAGATAGACTCTTCAAATTCCTCATCGTAATTAATAGACATATGATAAAATAATTAACACTGTTGAGTGCCAGTTCAGTAGTCGAAAGGTTAAGAGTTTGTGCACGAACTCCTGGGTCCTGGATTCGAGTACATTCGGTGCAGAATCGTGAATGTGTACTTCTAGAGAATTCTATACCAGGATAAAACAACCGTCCAGTAGTTCAAGGTTTTTATTTCTGATTTAACTTACATTTGGCTCATGAATTCAACTACTAACATTACTGCAAATCTCTACGAATCAACTAGTCTAATCATTTTAGCATATTAATATCTATAAAATTATCTGTTATTTGTTATTCTATTCGTTGTTTAAATGATCATTTGCCTTTAGAGAAAAGAACTATATTCTTGTTCATTTTTTAGACATTATTAGTGATAAGTCTTGCAATTTGAAAGGTTCATAAGCTATTCTTGAAACCCCTAAGCTAGAACTATACAGAGACCTGAACACGAGATAGAAGGGCCAAAGTATGCGAAAGTACTTTACTCCAAAGGTTCATTTTAATACAGAAAATATAGGGTTTTTATAATATTTTAAATGTCTTTGGGTCACCCGGAGATTCTGGAATGCTACTAAACATAGCAGCAGTATAACAATCAGCCAATCAGAACCTCTACATGTGACGTTTCACATTCTTGATGTTTCTGGCTAAAACTTCAAGTAAACGCTGATTGGATGAAATGCATCTTAGTGTTTCCCGATCTTTGCTTGTCTTTTGCGAGAAAATTTTTGGTTCACCTCAACAAATAGCTAACCGAGAATTGGACAAATAATACTAAATTGCGTTACTTTGCTTTAAATATTGTTCTTATGCTATTAAAGATCATTAAGAAACATTTTTATTTGTAAAATATGGGGTTTGAGTCAACAACACTAATTTGACTCGAAACCATTAACAACCTAAATTTAACAAGAGTTCTGTAAGTATTTTATTTGCATAATACTTGTGCAATATTTTTCTACAAGTGATTTAATGAACCTTTGTGATAATTAATAGTATTTGATTTATGGTATAAACTAAGAATCCCAGAAATAACGCAGTCGGATCAAGAAGTACTAGATAAGTATGAACGAATGTACTGTATTTAGAATTCGAAATCAAGCATTTAACAAGTACAAAGGAATCATTAGTTCATTCAAACAGCGCAACTTTATTATCATAGCTGTAAATTACTTTCACCATAAAAACTTGTTTGATGATATACATTTTGGGAAAAGAATCATAAAGTCCGTAACTGATTCATTTGTTTATTTATCAGTCTCATCATTTGTCGATTAACTTAACATTTATGACTATTCCTGCTTTACTAACAATAGAAATAGTAGTTGTATATACCACCACCACCACTCCTCGTCAACTTGTTTAAATAGTAGTTATGTTTGTCTAATTCATCTGTCCCTTTTATTACATCAAGGGAGATAATGTTCAGTTTTATCATTTTCTTTAAATACCCACACATTTCCCCATCTTCAATTTTGTTTTTGACCACTAGTGGAACACTTTAAATAAAATCTGTAAATTATTATAAACCACAAATGAAATTTGTATATTTTTATTATTAGAAAAATATGTGATTCGTAAATAGAATATTCCTTCCTATCCATTTTATGTTCGTTTTTTTTTAAAGAAAAGAGAAAAAACTCAAAGTAGTCTGTCTGATCGTGAAATTTTTTGAACCAGTAAGAGAGTTGGGGTGTTTATTTTGATTTACAAATTTTCGAAAGGGATTATTGCATAATCAACGAAACTCTTTCAATTAACATACAACATTATATACAGATATATATATATATATATATATATCTTCCAAATTATGCGAAATGATTCATGAAACCGATCAGTATCTTCCTATAATAAGATCACCATTCAAGAATGAACCGATAGAAATATTAGGAAATTTAAAACAATCACCTCCAAATACGTATCCCATCGAAAGTGAGTATAATCATATATATATATATATATATATATATATATATATATATATATATATATATCTGTAATATAGAAATTATGAGTAAATTTCATTTATCTAATGAATATTAATTATTAATTTATAAGTATCATAAATGGGTTTTAATGAAGAAACCTGAACGAAACGGCCATCCAGTGATTTCAGGTTTACATGGTGGTCTAACTTCAATTAACCCATGAATTTAACTATTAAATTATTTTAATCTTCATAAAACTCCTTCCTGGTAATAATCATCATATGCTTATTAGCGACTAATTTCAAGAGGTATTTCCTGGAGTTCTAGTGAGAAACAGTAACCAGTGGAGTTCAACCAGGTTTGTTGTGAGATAGTAACTCACTGAAGATAATGGTTGACAGTGGCTCGATTTCGTGAATTGGTTGAAGTTAGACATTAACACCGTTGGATGCCATCCGACTCAGTGGTCTAGAGGTTAGGCGTTCGCGCACCATACCTATAGGATTTGGGCTCGAATTCTGTGAGCAGTATCGTGTATGCGCACTGCTGAGGAGTTCCACACTAGGACGAAATGGCTGTTCAGTACTTCTAGGTTTTCTATGGTGGTCTACCTTCAATTAATTTATGAACTCAACTATTAATTTATAAGTAATTAATAATGCTAAGTTGATTTGTTTCCAGATAAAAAAAACATTAAATTTCCATTTTCTTTTTGTTTGAAAACGGTCAGATTTCTAAATTGGATATGATCTGAATTCAGAGTATAACTTTTATTAAGGTAATAATTTTAAATGTATTTAATGTACAATGGTTTCTAGAATACACTAACATAAATAAAATTAAGATCTTATTTTCAATATTATTTAACCTAGTTTGATTTACAAATCATTGTGTAACATTGTAACTTAATTGATAGAATTTGATCAATACTAAAAGACTAGTGAAATACAACATTGTTCAATACTCTGTAATTAATCAATTGAAAACATTCAAGTCCGACTGGAGGTCATTCAAAGCCCAGATAGATTCATAGTAACATTTCTAACTGTGAAGCTAAATGATGTAAATTTGAACTTTACACAGGTACTCTCATACTGACTAGAGAAGTTATTTAGCTCACGGCTTACTGTCGACTTCCTCAAACTATTTAATATAAATATTCATACTATCAAATATTAGTAGACACTTAAGTCATTAATGAATATAGTACCTAACTGTAAAATATCTGTCAATATGTTTATGCATGTATAAAAACACATTTATATGCCTTCATTTAAGTTACATTATTCAGAGTTAAACATGAGAATACCTTTATATGATTGATTATAGTAATAATGATAAATAGGCTTAAATGCCAAATGATCCTTATAATATTTTTTAAATAATTTCTTAAGCATATTGTCTAACTTGAATCAATAAAATCGGATCTATTATATGCTCAACAAGGTCCATGTTTTATAATTTGGATTTCGGGGGTGAAATTCATTCATTCATTCATTCATTAGGTTAAATGGTGTTTTGACATTTTAACCCTAAATTTAATTCCTAACCTAAACCATCAACTGTAAATCATAATTTTAATTATTTCCACTGGTTTATAATCTTCATTTAGTACTAGTTAATAGATGGACATTCTAAAGGTCACTTTGGAGTTGCTCAAAGGTCATCCATAAATTATAGTCTCAACATTTTATTAAACAACTAGTGAGATCATTTATGTAACCTATATCGTGGTTAATATAACTGTAAAAGACCAGTTTCTTTAACTGCATGTATACATCTTCAGAGTAAAGATCAACATTAGAAAGTAGGTATATACAAATGACAGACTTAAGCTAGGACAAAACTTATGTTCTGAAACCTAATGTTAACCAAAACAGAACTTTAGTAAAGTAGTGAGCTTGTTTGACTAATAAAATCATCCATTTAAAAAAAAATTTCATTTGAATATAAACCCCATAGGAATCATCAACCAGGATTGTCATAAATACATTTTTATTGTAGTTGTGAAATATGAGTATAATCTAAAAACTATTCAAAACATTGATTGATTTAGTACATGTATGATTGTTGTGTATGTACCTTGAAATCTTAGTCAATCAGTTACAACGTAGGATCAGGCATCGAAATCTAAGTCCTTTTTTTTTAAGAAGATGGACTCATTCAATTTTTATTTTTCACCAAACGTACAAAAATCTTGGATAGTTGAAATCATGAGTCAGTTGAAGCTAGACCACTATTGAAAACCTGGAAGCGCTGGACGGCCATATCATCCTAGTATGGGACTCCTCAGCAGTGTGCATCTACGATCCCTCCCCTCTCAGGATTCAAATAAAAATCTGGGACAGATTTATATTTCTAATAAATTTCATTCCTATTATTATACTCAGAAAGGGTTTTTGTGAATATTATAGTAATTCAAATAGTTGAGATCATGAGTCAATTAAAGCTAGACCACTATGAAAAACCTGGAAACACTGGATGGCCGTTTCGTCGGATGAGCACTGTCGAAGAGTCACATAATGGGACGAAATAGATATCTAATGTTTCCAGGTTTTCCATGGTGGTATAGCTTCAATTGACTCATGATCTGAACTGTTGAAATTATTATTAAACTTTTTATTATCAAATTAATTTATTATTCAATTACCATCAGAGTATGCTTAGTGGAAATCATAAATATAACAAACTTTGCAATCTTCAAACTTAATCCAATTTTAAAAATTCACAGTCATGTCTATACGCCTGTTTGTCAATACAAGTTTTTATACAAAATGATAATTATGACCGGAGTACAGATTAAGTAAATTAAAGATCACATTGTAAATTAAAACAAAATCAGATCAAATCTTGAGATGATGAAGAAGATTTCTAGCTTAGATCGATGATTTTGATGGAGTTTTGTTCTCTCAGCTGGATAGTTTAGTTGTGAAGCTTTCATCGTTCTTCTGAACGACATCATCAGCACCAATTTCAGGTAGAAGTGACGTGCTCATAATTCGCTTCTACCTGAAATTTTTGCTGATGATTTCGCGCAGAAGAATAATGAAAATTTCACGACCAAACCATCCAACTAAGAGAACAAAACTTTACCAAAATTGGATTAAATCATATAATACAGTTAAATTGTAAAGATACATAGAATCAAATGCAACAAATTATTATTAAAGTTGGATTATGACTGATAGTGGAATTCTGGGCGCATATTTCATCATATTTGGAACTCATTAAATAGATTTATCTGCATCTCATTGTGGATGCGTATGATGAGATTTAAACCCAGAACTTATTACTTCCCACTGACAACACTTTTTTTATTTTAAAATATTTTGAAAAAATGCACTTTATGTCATAATGGAACTTAGTCATCATTTTATTCGTCAAAGGATACTTTTAAACTATCTTACATGGATTTGTTATTACTAATAATATTTGATATTCCCAGGTGCAGGGTCATGGATGTGCAACATCAAAGAGTTCTATGCTAGGACAAAACAGCCATTCAGAGCTTATAGATTTCCCTTCTTTGTCTAACTTAAGTCGACTCGTGATCTCAATAATATTCATATTGTCAACTAATCTCTATCTATAGACAGAATAATTATTTAATATGATAAACACTCAAGATTATACTGTTACTTCTTCATACAATCAATTGATTTACAACTGACACTTCAGTGATCATTAATTCGACTTCAAATTAATCCCATCCGTTGTCTAGTTTGTAGACTCCTGAACAATTAACCAGTCATAATTCGTGTCTGTTACTTTTAAATCATCAGTATGAGGTTGTGGAGATTATTAAGTTTTTGATTGAGATCATGAATGGATTGATATTAGACCACCATTTAAAAGCTGGGAGTACTGGACGGTCGTTTTATCCCAGCATGGAACTACTCAGAAATGCGCATCCATGACCCCGAGCACAAATGTCTAATCCAGGACCTTCGGGCTCGCGCGCGAACGCCTAATCTCTAGACCACTGAGCCGGCATAAGAGGACGAAAAGGCGGTTGAGTATTTCCAGGTTTTCAATGGTGGTCTAACATCAATAGATTCATGATCTCAATAAAAAAATTTTAAATCAGTTAGTTAAATTTTAATACTGGAAACAACAGTAGAACAAACATGTTTGTTGTTCGATAAAAGTCACACATCATTATATTTGTAAATTAAAAGGATTATTTAGGTTTCTTGACAGATCGATCGGTTTTTTTATAAGTCCACACTAATACTTACACTATACTTCAGTATAAGCATGTTATCTAAAATATATGAATTAAAACCAGGTTACAACGAATAAGTATTTTAGTTCTTAAATAAACCAAACGGAATGAATTAAATGAAATCCACAAACCTCAATTTTTAAGGACATTCATAAAATCTACTAGTTCGTGTCTTACAGTATCCATAACAACGAAAGATGAAATCTCCCAGAGATGTTCATAATATAAACAATGTGTGTTCATTATCTTTATTATTGTTTTTGCATTTTGGTTGCTTAATATTCTTGGAATTCATACTGACTATTCATTAAGCAGTGATTAATGTCATAGTTATCAATTTTCTTAATGTAGGTTGAAGTTAATCGACCAAGTTGCAATATGCTCAGTAGTCAAGGTAACTAAACATTGTGCTCATCGTGTAATAATGTAAGCTAGTTGAAGGTATTTATCACAAATCCTAGACATAGGTTTCACTTATAGTTAGGACTCGTTAGCAAGGTGTATTTAGTAACCAATTATACGAAAAAAAGGGGGGGTGAGAAATAAAATGTTAACAAATGGGTGTTCTACTACAGTTCAACTGGTTTCAATATACAATGCCGGATCCTCTTCAAACTGATTAGAATAGAATTAGTACCTTTTTTGACAACAGCATCAATAACATTCATAAATTTATATGTACTTTTGGTAGCAAATATCTTATTAAGACTTCAAGTAGGATATCTATAATTATTTTTTTTCAAAGTGTATTGAACATGTTTCTTGAAACTCATGTTTAC